CATTGACATTAAACAATAGTATTCAGCACTATACTAACCAATAATTAAAGGAAATTCTGTATGTATCAAATTGAAGGACTAACCTTTATTTTCTGCAAAAGAATTGGACTTCCAGATTGATATTCTGCTTCCAATGAAGATAGAGGCTCCTGCACTTGACATTTACAAGTATAAATAACCATACACTACATGCGTATGCAGAAAGACTTACAAAAGTTATGACATACTCCCTCCGTCCCACAAATATGTTCCACAATGGAACTGTCACAATTGTTAAGAAAGGTAGAATAATATGATTGAAATTGACGCAAAGGAGAGACAAGTAACATGAGCCACACAAATTTTTCTTTAATGCAGGTGCAACCATATTTTGGAACAACGAAAAAACGTAGAACCTTTTTATGGGATATAGGGAGAAAAACTTATTTTGTGCAATTACAATATTGAATGTATGCACTCTAATCCAGAAGGCATAAAGGAAAGATTAGAAACAGAGAACTGATGAATATACATATTAGCAGTTTCCCTTGCCTTATCACCCACAAATGGAAGCTTCTCCACTTCCTCAGCCCGAATAATAGAATGTTGTTGCATAATATCCTTATCTCCAAACTTCGTCCAATCATCAACTCCAGATGTTTGAGCAGATGCTGAGCAACCAATCTCAGCATCACTTACATTCCCATCCTGACCTTGCATAATCTCTGCTTAAGCAAAAAAAGGTACCTCCCTAATAAATACTCCGTACTATTTTCTACAAAAGAATTAACTGGACTAGTAAAATTGAACAGAGAAAACATAGAGATGATGGCATTTGCCTGCAATAAATACATCAAACAAAAACCCACAACCAAGTGAGAACTACCATGCAGTAAATACATCATGATGTGATTTAGGCATAGAGCTACGATCTACTCCGTATCTATTTTGACACACCTTTAGAGCAATAAATACACATGAAAATCTAAATGTGATTAAAGAGTTCAGTTAAAATGTGTACAATTAGAGAACTGCAGTAGATGTTGCCTAAGACTCAAATGGGCAGCTATACACATGATATTAATTGTCAAGTTGACTCTTAGGCAACATTTATTCCATTTTAACTAGTCCAAAACATAGTTACTGCACAAATTCCATTCCCAGGCATTCTACTTTTCAAATCACCTTAAAGTCTGTGAGAGAGTCCACTAGATGTTTTTACCTGAACAATAGATTTGGAGTAGGAGCAATCGATACTTTTAACGTAACAAAAGAAGCAAAGAATCATGTTTAAACAACAACAAAAAAAAAAAGCAATATGCTAGAGCTAAAAGCATATATAATCACAAAATTGAACAATTATAATAGAGCATATACTTTTCTAAAACGTGAAAATAAGATCTGGACAGTGGTGTTTCACAAAAATGTCTGGAAATAGAGCGCTAATACATGATATGTAAAGTGGTGTTTCAGATTCAAAATGAATATCTACAGATTGACAATAGATCTACAGATTGATTACTGACAAAAACATCTAAAACCGTTTTTCAATCTCTGGATAATTGAAACAATACCTAATTTCGTTAAGGCTGGAAGTTGGAGCAAAGAAGACTGAAAGATAAAATACTGTACCTGGATTGAAGAAGGGGGCCTTGCCTTTCGAATAAGAGCCAAGAACGAAGGTGCGTTTGGTTATTCGAAAAAGAAAAGGACATATTGGGCCAATGGACTTACTGTTTTAAACACTACGTATGATGCTCCCTATTAAGAATTTTTAAGAATATGGCTGGGTTATGAAAAGTAAAAAGCATTGAATTGAGAAAATTGAAAGTGAATGGAAAAAAATACTTCTTCCGTCCACAACTTGATTACATTTTTTTCTTTTATTTCCATAACTTTTATTTGTTTAAGCAATTTCATTATGTATTTGATAAAAACAAAATATTCTTATGACCTCTTGTTTTATAGAATTTTTGATGTAATTTTTTAATATGTAGTCGTACGTAGTTATTTTTATTTCTTATCGATATACCGATTTGTAAAAAAGTTCCAAAAAGTGAGATATCTCTCCTCGTAAATCCCAATTTGTAATCAAATTGGGGACGGAAGGAGTAAATAAAATTGTTGTTGCTTGGTTTCCGTTTTAATTTTCATTCTGGAAATTGAACCGAATAGGTTGAAAATTTGTTTTATATATATGAGTATATGGATATGTAAAAAAAAATTATATATTTAAAAATGTAAATAACATCAATTAAGTTTACTTGCCTTAAGTATTAAGTATTCTTAAATCTTAACCATATTATAAACTTTAAAAAAACTAATTATATAAACACCAATAACTAATATTAATTTGGAGTTATATTAATAAAAACTGATACCAGTATTTTATATATTTTCATAAAAACTTTGATATTATGATGAAAATAGAAATATTATATCAAAATGCAAATACTCCAAAACGGGTAATTACACATGCAAGGTTTGGGAGTATTTGGAAACTCCTATATGTTGGTTGGGCACTCATTATTTTCTCACTTGAAGTGTGTGCATTTAATTTGTCGAAGACCTTTTTTAGATTATTTCTTTTACAAGCAAATTTAATTTAGCTTATAGTAACGATGTAAGTGTTTAACTTGTGATTCAGATATTTTAAAACTAAAACTTTTAACATTTACATAAATTTTACGTTCAATAGGTGGTCTACTCTTTAGTTAAACAATTTATTTGGAGTAATCTTTAACGGAGTACACTAATAGTATTAAAATATTTTAGTTGGTTAAAAAATTGATGTTATTCCAACTTTATTAACCAAGAATTTTCATATTTAGAAGTATTTTAATTTTTTTTTTTTGCACAAATACACACCTTTCCATTTCACTTCAAACCATTCCAAAGGAACCTACACCAGATTATATCACTCTCTTGTAAGTGAAAAAAATTCTGTACATAGAAACAAATATATTCAATAATCTCTTCTTCCTTGCAGTTCTTGTGGTGGCAGACCTGGTTCCTCATCTTCCAAATACCATAAATACACCCAGCCCAAATTGCTTTGAATTGTTGCTTGCATTTTTTCAGGCCTACCCTTTGTAATGCATTTTCAAGCTCCTGATAATTGCCCAGTTCCACCTGCTGGAAGCCAATGCAAATTTAGAGAAGCAGGAGGTTAGAATCCTTTGGGCTACTCCACATTCCCAGAACAAGTGCACATCAGTTTCCTTTGTTTGGCCACACAAAGAAGAGTCTTAGCTTGATCAATAGTCATATACTTGGCTAACCTCTCTTTAGTAATCTATTCCTCATCAGCAGCCAAGTTATTAACCTATTCCTTATCTGCATCCTAGTATTTTAAATTTTTTGTTTTACAAAAGAATGCTTTTCAAATTTTTTTACAACACACTTTATGTTTTATATAAAAAAGATATTTTAAAAACTGAAAATAACCTAAAAACCAATAATCAAATTGCAAAAAACCAAACTGATAAACCAACAATTCTCATATTTTGTTTTAGTAAAACCGAATTGAACCATCTTTAATTTTACGTTTGATATTTATTTTAGGTAAAAAAATCAAACCTAGCCCTAATTACGAATAAGCATTGATGGATTCAACCTAGACCTAAGGTAGTAGAAACCTTAGATCTAGATTCATCAACAATATTGAATAGAGGGGGAGAGGAAGATGATGAAGTGTACTTATAATAGTACACTTTACCATGGGCCTTAGCTCTAAAATAATAAGTCCAAGAGTATTATAGTATTGAGTTGCAGCCCAACACTCACTATCACTAAGTGAATAAAGATTAAACGATGATGAGCATAGGTCTAGGCGAAAATGAGCTAGGGAGTAATGAGGTTGAGCTTGGGTACAAGGCCGCGCCCAGACAAGATTTGGCCGAGTTTGCCCGAGATGGGGCCGAGCTCGCACCCTTGCCTTCTCGGACAAGATTGGGGTGAGTTCACCTAAGATCCACAAAGTCTATAGAATGTAGGCCGCTGGTTCGGGGTTGATATGCCCATCAAGCATAATTCCCAATATTTTTTAGTTTGATTCCAAATTTCTATGGTTTAATTTCTATAGACAGGATTGAATGTAAAATTTACACTTCAGTTCAATTATATAACATAAATATATATATGATGGTTGTTCATTTCAATTTTATACGGTCTTGGTTTTGGCTCTATGCAACTTTTTGAAGTCTAGATTCTTTAAATACACATGATGGTTGTTCATTAAATTTTAATTTTATTTTCCACTTGTTAGAAATGCTTCAATACGCCAAAGACCTTTTGGTCTAGCAATATCAATATGTCTCATGAGGTATGTGGTTAGAGGCCATGGATTTAAATTGTAATGGATAAAACTATGTTAAAAATGATGACCAAATACTACTCCCTCCGTTTCAAATTATAATGCCTGTTTACTATTCATATGGTCAAACTTCATTCACTTTCTTTCTCTATTTTCGTTAGCAATTTGATAAAATAAAATATTGTTGTCACTACTAGTTTTGTAGATCTTTTGATGTAGTATTTTGATATGTAATTTTTATTTTTTAACTCTATACCATTTGTCATATAAAATGATTTGAAAATAACTTCAGTTAAACATCGTAAACCAAAACAGGCGTTATAAAATGGGACGGAGGGAGTACTACCCTATCCTCTATGCCTCTGCAAATAAGGGTTGTGAAGGGTGTTCCTCCACCCAAAGTCGAAATTTTTTTCTTTGTTCTTTTGAAAAATGATCAACCACTATTAGTATTTTTAGTGTATGGTAGATGCTTGGGAAGAGTCTAACCCTAAAAAAATCTAAAAGTGAAACTTGTATAACCGTCTGATCTGATTTAAGGGAATACTCGAGAACGAGACTCATCTTTTTTTGTTCGAATAAAACTTGTATTGTTACTAATTGTATAAATGAATAATTGATGAATTGATTGAAGTTGTCCTTTCACAAGTTTGGATCTTTTCTTAAGACTCCTATAAATTCCTATCTTCTTCTAATTAGTTGATGAATTACAAATGTCAATAATGCTGAAAACAAGAGAAATGCCCAAAATATCTTCGTTATTGGCAGTAGCATTAATTGCTCTGACCATATGCAACGGCTCTGCGCAACAACCGCAACCAGCACCGCCGACGGGAACCCCAACCCCGGCGGCGCTACCTCGGCCCGCCCAAGAGTTCCTGGACGCCCACAACCGAGCAAGAACGGAAGTCGGAGTGGGGCCACTGGCATGGAGCCAGACGCTTGCCAATGCCACCAGCCTGGCGGTGCGCGTGCAGAGAGACAAACAGAACTGCAGCTTCGCCGACTTGAGCGGCAGCAAGTACGGCGGCAACCAGCTGTGGGCGGGAGGGATGGCGGTGACGCCGCGGACGGCGGTGGAGCACTGGGTGGGGGAGAAGAACTTCTACAGCTACGCCAACAATTCTTGCATCTCCGACCACAAATGCGGCGTGTACACTCAGGTGGTTTGGAAGGAGTCGGTGGAATTGGGCTGCGCTCAGGCGACCTGCGCCAAAGGGCAGACCACCTTAACCATATGTTTCTACAACCCTCCGGGTAACATTGTCGGAGAAAGACCGTACTGATGATAGATGACGTGTCTCTTTCTCCTTCCATCTTTGTCAAGAATCATTCAATCATTCAAGCTTCCTCATTTCTAGCCTTGAAAAATAAGAGTTGGGTTTGTATGCAAGTCATACAGAGTATAATGGTATGGTTGAAAACTTTGGGTTCCATTCTTAATATATTACACCTTCCATTTGAATTTAATCTCCCATTTTCTAATTAAAAAGACATTTTTATAAATGAAGACAAGAAAGTGTATATAACAGACAGTTACAAAAGAATTGAGGGAGTATATAGCAAGCAGTAGACAACATACTCTCAATACTGCAACAAAGCATTTGTATGAAGCCAACATAAGATTATATATACAAGGAATTGAAACATCTAATTAATGTAAACCTAGCTAGCTATGCATTGTTAAGACTGATAGTTTTCTACCCATTTACACTGCTGAAGAAAGAGCAAGAGAACCCAGGATCAGCTTGAACTTCACCAGTGGGACGCAGTGGAAACAATTATCTCACTAGCTCCTTAAATATAAGATATCGGAAGGCGAAATTATGAGGAACCCATTCGATGTTCTTGCGATCTTTTCTGAGCTGAAACTTCTTCTTAGTCATGCTAATGCTCTTCTTCCTCAGGGAATCAGGCAAAGATTGCCAGACCATCTCTACCACGCCGGCAGAACTCATTCCTGAATCCTTGGCAAATGACTCCACAACCTTTGGCAACAAAATCTTGTTGTCCTTCGTGATGCCAAAGGTTGCTCTAGTGTATTCCTCTTTTGCTGCTTCCAGCTCCCGAAACACTCTTTTGGGCGTATAGAGTCGGACCTGAAATTTTTAAAAAAATGCCCATTGTGCATCAGCTGGAAAGATGATCAAAAGTTCAATTTTTTTGTTTTAGACCCAAGAAAGGTTTTATAAGTACCGCGGGATCGGAGTGGTTTCCAGAAGAGAGTGCAAAATGCAGCAGAGGTTCTGGATGTTCAATCACAAACGCTTGTCGTTTGTCTTCAGTTCTGAATTTCGCCTTTGATGAAAGAAGTACCCGAATCCACTGCATATAAAAGTAACTAGATCAGCACTTAATGAGCCAAGACTAGACTGTCTTATAAGGGAGAATTGGTTGGGGGTGGGATAAACCTGTCCAGGCCGAGACATTCGGCATTTGAGTATAGATGTTTGTATCGCATCTGCACTTATGATGCACCCCCCAACATTATAGGCAGCCTGGATTAGCAGAAACGAAGTGCCAAGCTTAAGAGAGAGCATCCTTGCCAAGCCAAACCAGAAGAATTTTATTGGGTTGAGAAAAACGTGTATGTTTTGCTAACCTTTAAGAGAAGGAAAACTTTCTTCATGCTGCTTTGTGGGATTCCATAAGCCAAATATGCCTGTTAAGATTTAAAAAATTATTATTGAAATTTTGGGGTTCCATCTTCATAAATATTAGCACAAAGCATGCAAATTTTGGGAGAAGAAATTACATGCATAACCAATGCATTGTGGATGTTAATCCAAAATGCTAGTTTCTCCTCATGAGTTTTCAACCTGCTTGGATCAGTTTCATCTAATTGACAAATAAGTGACCTACAATGCAAAAATCGCAATGAGCAATTGTGACACAGTTGACACTGAACATGGTAAGAAATTATCGTGCATAGTACTCAAATGATGTTTGTTTGTTACCTGTAATATTGTAGCAAGGGCTCAATCTCACAAAGTTTATGATTATCTCTATATATACATTGTATTTCGATCATTGTGCTGTAAGGTCCACTGAAATCCTTAAGCCCTTCAACGTGGAAAGGGTTGTCCAAGCGCACGTCAAAAGATGAAACATTCCTAAATCCCGGGCTCCACAGACCATCGTGCGAATATGGATTTGGTGACGAGAATGCTGAGGTTGTTGGGGAGGAGGAGGCTCCCAGCTGACTTGTTGTTAGTGGTGGATCAGCAAGCTTGCAGTATATTGTGCTCATGCATTTTATCATTTCCTCTGAGAGCTTGTTTGGCGTCTCTGGAACATGATCTATTGTGATATGGTTGAAAACACGCTCCCCTAAACTGAACATGTTTGATGAAACACTCTGTGCATACTGCAAATAAAATACTCCGTATATCAGTACTCCAGGGGTGAAAATTCTTCCTAATAGGGTAAATTTTAGAGTACAGACTCTCCCAAGACCCTACTTTTGTGGAATTTTACTGGGCTTCTTGTTGCCAGGTAAAAATTATTTCCAGTTCTGAGATGCAACTAACCTCCCTCATTGACAAAGGTTGAGAATGACAAGCGCGCACGGATTTTCCCAAAGTGTCTTCCGGCGTTAACGTTCTGTTTGGTAGACCTGAACGCTGAGATAGTGAAGAATGACTTCGTTGAACACGAGAATCAGAATTTGATGCAACTTCGGCAAAGCCATTACTGTCTTTCATGGGTAACTTTGAGAAATTCAGCCTTCTTCTTGGGGTACCACTTGAGGGTGGTTTCAGTCTATCGTCCCTTCGCGGAGGAGACAAGGATGGGAGCTGTTGATCAAAAGCTTGCCTGTAGAGTGAGAGGAGGTACTGTTCCAAGTGTCCAACCTCTACCTCTAGCACTGCAATTTCTCGAATAAGTTCCCTTGTTGGCTGCTATCAATTGAACCAAAGAATGTATTAAGATTTGGGTTCCATCTCAAAAGTTCAAATGATGTTATAGATGCCGCGCAGCGTGGGTCCAAGAAAGCGTAATGTACCTTAGTAATTGGGGTTTCAGCTGTGGTCTTATGGGAGGAGGACCCATAACCCAAGGCTTTCTCTAAAGCACATCGAACCGCAACTTGGTCCTGCAATCTTTTCTCTAGCTGCATTATCTGCATCGATAGAAATGCGATAACCATTACAATCATCAAATTCCAGTTAAAATCTTTTCATGTCTCTTTATTATATTGTTTGTACCTCCTTTCTCAATGAGTTTTGGACCTCAACACAAGATGATGGTTTCTTCTTGCTCTTTACCAAATCATGAAAATGTTCCATATCCTATCACAAACACCACTTCAAATTAAAACTGTAAATATATCAAAGCTAATCAAAGCCAAAACTGACACTGGAAATCATTGGCATGCCATGTTTAGTCATGTGTGCTGTAATGTCGCAGGACATTCAAATGGTGGGCAAAAATTATACTCCCTAACAATTGAAACTCTTTTTAAGCAGTAAAAAGCAGGGAATTGGGGCAAAATGAGGTAAACATTCAAAATTAACCCTTTAAACCCCATCCTTAAACATAAAAACTGAATATAAAAAAAAAATCATCATAAACAACCAAAAGAACTAGGAGATTCAACACTGCCAGATTGCCAGATGAACAAAAAATTAGGGGAAAAGGGGAAATTTTTTTACCATGGGAGGCGAAAACAAAGAATGATCGACCAAGATTGAATCTTTTTTTCCAAATGCACCCCAAACCAGGAAAGTCTCAAAGAATAAAAATCCCGGAATGGGTCGTCAAGAAAAATCTCGTCTTGGGAATCAGAAACCAGATTTGTTTCAATTCCGCGGCCATAAACAGAAACGCAGAGAACAATCTGAAAGAGAAGAGGAAAGAGACGATGTAGTGTGTATACACAGAAAAAAACAGAGCCCGGAGCTTTTGACCTTGGGAAAGATTTGATTTTTTTCCCCTTTTTTCCTCTTTTTTTCACTTTCCTCACAGTAGTGTGATACAGTATATACACTTTAGCGGAGCTCCAAGAACTGGTTGTTACTCGTGTATATATGAATGGAGTGGCTTTTTGGCAAGGGAGTGGGGGGAGGTGGAGGGACCTTTTTCGTCTTAAAAGGATACACAAAAGTCATCCCCCCTATTATGCAATCTACCGTATGTATAATGAATGATGACTCCAAATGTCAAAGGTTATGTACAAGTAGATGAGATGGAGAGATCAGAACAAGAAGAAGGAAGAAGCATTAGGTAATTAAGTGGGACGAGATCAAACTCATCAAAGGTCATCAAACTAAACTAGTTAATGGATTTATGGTCCATCTACTAACTACAAATCAATTGAATAGATAAATGGTACTACTTGTTTTGCTCCATCTCTTTCACAACAAAAAGGATGACATCCCATCTCCCACGACCCTTCAGCACCGACCGAACAGGTAATTGAGAGAAAGTAAATTTTGTTATAATCTCAGTCAGTTGACATGAGAGTACTTCTGTGTCTGGTACTTTCAGAAGTCTCATGCTCCGCATGGTTGCGTCTCATACGCCAACCATCGACTGCTCCATCTCTTTCACATTTCTCTAAGTTGTGGACTTCCCAAAGTTCATATTCCCACTCTTTTTTATGAGTGAATAAATTGTACGGAATACAAGGTATGATGTATAAATTCTTAAGTTCTTAAGGACTCAATTAAAATTGTAGTTCATTTAATTTTTTATTAATTTGCTTATATGAGAAGTTCAATGCATTGTTTATTACTCTCTTTGCCCTAATTTAAGCTCTCCATTTCGATTTATGATATATGACTAAAGTAATTTTCAATATCTAATACAAATTTTATTTAATTAGTAGCCAACAATTTTGACTAAAAACATAAAAAACTAAACAAATAATCAGAGACATTGGTAGTAATTGATTTATATGAAAATGGACACGACCATCATTAATTTTGACTTACATACAATTTTTTTGCTAATACAAAAAAAGGGTTGTGTGTATGTCAATGAAGAATATTTAAAGAGATTGCATTGAGAGGAACTTTGTACCAATGTGTGAACCAAACGTGTTGTATATATAAAAATAAAAAGTATAGGGTAGAGTATATCTTGGGATAAATTAGAGAATGTGGTGTAACCAAACATGACTAAAAAGAAAAGGCCTATAAATCATGCACCAACCTCAAAAGCGATGAAGAAAAAAAGGGGTTAAAACTAACTGTAATTACTAAAGCTAGAAAACATTGGATGCTCGAAAGGAAATGAAATGAAGTTTTGTGGGTTCTTCTTTGTCTCTAATACAATTAATCACCTTTTGAAACCAACGATGTCCACTTTGTTCTTGAGTACTCATATGACTACCGTTTGTCAAAGAATCCTTTAACTTTTAAAAAAAGGGATAAATGAAAAATTAATATAGAGTATGTATTACTCCCTCCATCCTCCATTTTTTGTCTACTTTTGATTTTTGGAACTGTTCATCTAAA